CAGGGGAAAAGATTTTAGATCACAAGTAGTAATGGGATTGCTTATCTACAGCCTGTATGGAGGGGAGATAACTTCAGTCTAGCTTCATCATAGTGTACAAAAACACATCAGTACTTCTATGAAGTTTGGGAGCTAAGATTAAAATACAATTTTAATGGATGTAACTTTCATTCTTAATGCACAAGAAAATATCTTAAGAGCTGTATGATAATTTTTTAGTTCATGTAAAAGTTTCTCAGTAGGCTAATGATATCAACATTGGAAAAGTTTACTTAGAGAGCCTTGAGACACTAGCTAGGATACAAATATATGTAGAAGGCCTTATGAGATATTTTCAAAAATTATGTAAAGTTTAAAGAAAATTTCTGTGGAACATAGGCTAAAATGTATTTAGGATTTGTAAGCAGGTATAGGCTAATATATATATAGGATTTGTAAATAGACATAGGCTAAAATGTATGTAGGATTTGTTTTGTAGATATAGGCTAAAATGTATGTAAGATTTGTTTTTTAGGTATAGGCTAAAATGTATGTAGGATTTGTTTTGTAGATGTAGGTGTAAATGTATGTAGGATTTGTTTTGTAGATATAGGCTAAAATGTATGTAGGATTTGTTTTGTAGATGTAGGTGTAAATGTATGTAGGATTTGTTTTGTAGATATAGGCTAAAATGTATGTAGGATTTGTTTTGTAGATATAGGCTAAAATGTATGTAGGATTTGTTTTGTAGATATAGGCTAAACTATATAGAATTGTTATGGTAGATATGACCAGACAATGTCTGTCAGAAGGTTCAGCAGGATATGTTTTAACATACCTAGTACATAGTCATCAAAACAGGATGTTCAAGGATATGGTAGTAGATATAGGCTGAAATGTTAAGACTCAGTTTTGGGGGTTTGTTTGTGTGGAACTTGGTTGTATTGATGGAAAGTGCTGATTTACAGTTAATTGAGTTTCTTTGAGACATAAGAAATCCATATTTAACAAAGATCACACAACTTAAGTATTCAAACTTGTCAGAGACTTCATCAGAAGTGATGTCAGTATTGCAGGCATGAGAACTTAATGGTAAAGTTATCATTTCTAAAACAAATTAAGACACAGTTTTTTCTGTAACAAATTAAAATGTTTAAGACTTAGATGTAAAAGACTTAGTTGAATTTTAAGTCTTTGGTATGAATGATATGTTCAAAACTTAAGTGAGAGGCTTAACTGAACAATAAGTTGAAGATTGGTAAGTGACCTAAATTAATTATAAATTAAAGACTTTGGTAAGAAACTTAATTAAATTATAAATTGAAGACTTTGGTAAGCAACTTAATTGAATTATAAATTGATGACTTTGGTAAGCAACTTAATTGAATTATAAATTGATGACTTTCGTAAGCAACTTAATTAAATTATAAATTGATGACTTTGGTAAGCAACCTAATTAAATTGTAAATTGCAGACTTTGGTAAGCAACTTAATTGAATTATAAATTGATGACTTTGGTAAGCAACTTTATTCAATTATGAATTGATGACTTTAGGTATGTGACCTAATTAAATTATAAATCGAAAACTTAGTAAGTAACGTAATTGAATTGTAGATTGAAAACATTATGAGTAGAGGATTGGGTTATGGACAGTTTTCACATCTGGTGGCATTGCTTATCACAGAAACATAACAGTTCCTTTACACTTATCTCTACAAGGTGTTCACAAGTCAGGTGGCTTGATTAAAGGTGTTGATTACAAACATCTTCCTCCTTGGCTGCCTTGCAGGATACACTACCGAGCTGGCCAGCGGGATACACTTTCAACTCCTCACACTTCCCCACACCACTGCCTCTGCCCACTATCTTAAACACACTTCCAGTGGGGAAAATTAGGTCTGATATTGATCGTAAACTCTCTACGGAATGGGAATTGAAATCACTCAAGTGTTTTATTAATAGCCAGTGATGGGAGAAAAATCCAACATTTTTCAGATTCCATTCACTGACTCTATCATTGAGTAACACAATGGTCATCAATTTTTCATTCCATGTTCGATTTTTTATTTGTAAGCTAATGCCAGACTGCCACATGTTACTGTACACAATCAGTGTTGAATCTGTATCTATAAACAAGATTAGTGATGGATCTACCACTAAATACAAGATCATTGAGAGAGGATATAACAACAAATCATCTGGATGACCATAGCTACCAAATCATTATACACAAATACCAACAGTCTGGCAAAATCACTAAAGTGGACATGGAGGATCAAACATTCTACTGCAGTAGATCTGGTGTAGAATACTTTTTCTAAAGTTTTGTCAGTATTGAACTTGGAGCAGAAACACTCATCTGTCATCTTTCTGAATTGTTTCTTAAAATGCTGCCATATTTTAATGGTGTTAAATGATTTACTTACTAGATCTAGTCAGAGATAGTGTGAGTGAACACCTGATGGCAAAGACATTTGTATACTTAAGACAATATGACAGAAACTACTGAGGTATGTTATTACCCAGTTTGTAATGTGTCACTTCCATTTCAATTTTCTGTAGGTATGTCAAACCCAGATTTCTACCAATGATTTGAAACCTAAGTGTAATTGTTTGCACTCAAATTATGATACAATCATTCTGAGTCAGCTTAGGTATAAAACTGGTATAACAAAGGCATTGTTTTATTTTCTGTATAAATCAAATCTGGAAAGAGAAATAAAGCGTTGTTTTCAGTCACAATAATGTTTATGTGATGAACACTTCTGGACTGTTAGAGCAACTAGAACATTGTAGAACTGTACATTGTAGAACTGTAGGTAAAGAAAGTAGAACATTGTAGAACTGTACATTGTAGAACAGTAGGTAAAGAAAGTAGAACATTGTAGAACTGTATGTATAGAAGCTAGAACATTGTAGAACTGTAGATATAGAAAGTAGAACATTGTAGAACAGTATGTATAGAAATTAGAACATTGTAGAACTGTAGATATAGAAAGTAGAACATTGTAGAACAGTATGTATAGAAATTAGAACATTGTAGAACTGTAGATATAGAAAGTAGAACATTGTAGAACAGTATGTATAGAAATTAGAACATTGTAGAACTGTAGATATAGAAATTAGAACATTGTAGAACTGTATGTATAGAAGCTAGAACATCGTAGAACTGTAGATATAGAAGCTAGAACATTGTAGAACTGTAGATATAGAAGCTAGAACATTGTAGAACTGTATGTATAGAAGCTAGAACATTGTAGAACTATAGATATAGAAAGTAGAACATTGTAGAACAGCAGGTAAAGAAAGTAGAACATTGTAGAACTGTAGATATAGAAGCTAGAACATTGTAGAACTGTAGATATAGAAGCTAGAACATTGTAGAACTGTAGATATAGAAGCTAGAACATTGTAGAACTGTAGATATAGAAGCTAGAACATTGTAGAACTGTAGATATAGAATGTAGAACAGTATGTATAGAAATTAGAACATTGTAGAACAGTAGGTACAGGAACTAAGAAATTGTAGAACTTTAGTTACAAAATCCTGCTGGATGTTGCATGGAACAACTATCATATAATGGCCCTAATGCTTGAACTATGACAAGTTATAGGAACTTGGAAAGTATAGATAGAGCGAAAAAACCTATTACCTGACTAAACATAAAATGGATTTTTTTTCCTATCTTAACTACACCACATAAGTGATTTATCTGATGACCAAAGAGTAGGGAGAAAAAAATATTGAGTTGGCTTGATCTTTTGCCTGCTTGATTTTTTATGCACATAATGTCATTTTTTTTCTTTGGAAAATAACTTCAAGGAGATTTAATGGGGATTAATGTATTAATGTCTGCTGCTTAATAAAGGCTGGGAATACTGACTGATAATAAGGGTTAGGAATGTTGTGTATACAAGGACGAATGGAACTACGTGATCTCTTGCAGGTATATCTCAGATGTTCATGGAGAATTTGAATCATTCTCTACATTATTGATAGGGATAATGAAGCAGTTGAGCAGGAACATTATATCAAACATAAGTGTTCCAAGCTTTGGAAGAAAATGAATGAACAATATTACTCTAAGCGTTTGATACCTAGTGAGCTTTAATGACAAAACAAAAGGGTTTGTGTTGAGAGGGGCTGAAGGACTTTGATGTCTGTGAAGATGTGGATATCATGGTTTTGTGATAAAGACGTTTGATTAACATACTGCATATGTAACATTAACTAACGTTGGCTAATGTTTACCAATAAAAACAGCAGCCTTCTGGAAAACACTCTCTTCAGTTTTTCTCTTTTTGTTATATAAAATAATTGGGGTATTGTTATAATCTACTTTAGAGAATGTTTCCTTGTTTGTTTACTTATTGACTACAGACAGGGAAATGAATATTACACCTCATGGTGAATTATACTGTTTGATCTATGAAATCTTTAGTACGGTGTGTTGATTAAATCTCTTTCTACTTTATAAATTTTATGATTACATAAAGATTTTCCTTCTGGCTTTTTAAATCTTCCTTCACTCTTTTGTTTCCCGTTTTGTTAATTCCTGTGAAACACAAGTTTTTGAAGCTTACAAGGTTTTTAAAAGTTTTTTTTGTAATCCATTATTTTCTGTCGTTAATGACCATTCAAGTGGAATAGCCACACAGATGTGATTGTACATTGGACAATGTGTTACATTTACAGTTCAAATCTAAACCTTACAGCATATGTTACAATTCAAGTCAAATTTTTCTGGCTGTGAAATTCTGCCTGCTTTAAATTGTATACAGCTGTCTAACTTGTGTGATAGGACCTTATGAAAATCACTATTTATTCATATTTGTTATAAGTTAAAGGAAACAAATCTTTTATTTATTTGTGTATCGAGTTGTGAATTTCCTCCATGCATCAAAATAGAATCAAATTAACTGATGTCATTTTTTTTTTTGACTAAGTTTTATTTTTTTCAGTGATCATTTTATCAACTTACCTGTGAATTTTTTTGTTGCAAATGTATATATTGCTTACCTGTAAATTGGTTAATTATACTGAAAGGCATGACAATTACACAGACGAGTAAATCAGTGACAGCCAGAGACAGGAGAAAGTAGTTGGTGACACTTTGTAAACGTTTCTCCATAGAAATGGCCATACACACCAGTATATTTCCTCCAATTCCAAACACAATAAGTGGAGATAGAAACAAAACACCCCAGTTGTAATCATTGGGTATTTCCATGCTGGAATTACTTGTGTTTCCTCCGAATGATGATGAATCATTAAATGGGATATCCCATGCACATTTTTCCGGGGGGCAGGGATCCACACCCCACCCACAGTCCAGGACACAGGGGGGAGCTGAGGTCCAAAGAACTGTGGGGGAGACCGACACAATTGGGGTGGTGTCCGCAGTCTCATTCTCTCTGATAATCATTTAATCCTCCGACCCACACAACCAATATCCATTAGAATCTGCAAATTATCCAAAGGACACTACACTAGTAATCCAAGTAGCTTTGAATTTATTTTCTGGAAAAGAAACAAATAAATTGTTTTTAATTCAACGTTTTCAAGATGAACCATTATTTCCAGGCATAGATTTGATGGAAATGTTTAGATATCTTATTTGATTTTTTTCTGAGCCAATAAGTTTTTGTAAAATACTTTGTTCAAGAAAGAAATCAATTCACAGCGCAATGTGACAATACACACAAGAAAGATATGATTATTTACCTAAAATTCTACCTAATACCATTACACTATTGTTTGTGACTCCAAATTGTTATTACAATCCGTGCCCACACCCAATTGGACCTTTTGTAACTGGGAGTGTGTTATTATTACATGTTAGCCTGAGAGCAGCACAGGTATATGTGACGAGCATCAGCCTCTCAACTGCTGCCTACCATAGCTACACCAGGCTCCTACACAGCTATCCAACAGCACTATACTGACGAGATCTGTCTAGGTGTTAGTACTATGTATACTGACAGAGGCCTGCCTTGGTGTTTGTACTATGTATACTGACGAGGTCTGTCTAGGTGTTAGTACTATGTATACTGATGGAGGTCTGCCTTGGTGTTGGTACTATGTATACTGATGGAGGTTTGTCTAGGTGTTAGTACTATGTATACTGACAGAGGTCTGTCTAGGTGTTAGTACTATGTATACTGACAGAGGCCTGCCTTGGTGTTAGTACTATGTATACTGACGAGGTCTGTCTAGGTGTTAGTACTATGTATACTGATGGAGGTCTGTCTAGGTGTTAGTACTATGTATACTGATGGAGGTTTGTCTGGTGTTAGTACTATGGTGTTGGTACTATGTATACTGATGGAGGTTTGTCTAGGTGTTAGTACTATGTATACTGACGAGGTCTGTCTAGGTGTTAGTACTATGTATACTGATGGAGGTCTGTCTAGGTGTTAGTACTATGTATACTGATGGAGGTTTGTCTAGGTGTTAGTACTATGTATACTGATGGAGGTCTGCCTTGGTGTCGGTAGGTGTTAGGTGTTAGTACTATGTATACTGACAGAGGTCTGTCTAGGTGTTAGTACTATGTATACTGACAGAGGCCTGCCTTGGTGTTAGTACTATGTATACTGACGAGGTCTGTCTAGGTGTTAGTACTATGTATACTGATGGAGGTTTGTCTAGGTGTTAGTACTATGTATACTGACGAGGTCTGTCTAGGTGTTAGTACTATGTATAATGACAAGGTCTGTCTAGGTGTTAGTACTATGTATACTGACGAGGTCTGTCTAGGTGTTAGTACTATGTATAATGACAAGGTCTGTCTAGGTGTTAGTACTATATATACTGACGAGGTCTGCCTAGGTGTTAGTACTATGTATACTGACGGAGGTCTGTCTAGGTGTTAGTACTATGTATACTGACAGAGGCCTGCCTTGGTGTTAGTACTATGTATACTGATGAGGTCTGTCTAGGTGTTAGTACTATGTATACTGACGGAGGTCTGACTAGGTGTTAGTACTATGTATACTGACAGAGGTCTGTCTAGGTGTTAGTACTATGTATACTGACGAGGTCTGTCTAGGTGTTAGTACTATGTATACTGACAAGGTCTGTCTAGGTGTTAGTACTATGTATACTGACAGAGGCCTGCCTAGGTATTAGTACTATGTATACTGACAGAGGCCTGCCTTGGTGTTAGTACTATGTATACTGACAGAGGTCTGTCTAGGTGTTAGTACTATGTATACTGACGAGGTCTGTCTAGGTGTTAGTACTATGTATACTGACGGAGGTCTGTCTAGGTGTTAGTACTATGTATACTGACGAGGTCTGTCTTGGTATTCGGATATGTTGGTTCACGATAATTGATGATAATAGTTTTGATATTTCTAAGAATAAACAAACGAAAGTTAAGGAAAATTACTTTCCTTATGGGAAAAACAAGTCAAATTAAAAATTTCTTGTCTAAAAACAATGTTAGAAACAAGTCAGTTTGGTGCATCAGAAAATTAACTTCCGGCTTAAGATGTCCGGAAAAATGTGTCAACTGTTCATGCCACATTTCGTTTATGATCACAATTTCCCCTGACAAATGGAGGATGATATTAAGTGGGTTTCATTTCACTGATGCGGGTTTCATTTTACCAATGAGGTCTGCGTAGGTGTTAGTACTAAAATTATCAATGAGGTCTGCGTTGGTGTTAGTACTGAGTTTATCAATGAGGTCTGCGTTGGTGTTAGTACTAAGTTTATCAATGAGGTCTGCGTTGGTGTTAGTACTGAGTTTATCAATGAGGTCTGCGTAGGTGTTAGTACTGAGTTTATCAATGAGGTCTGCGTTGGTGTTAGTACTAAGTTTATCAATGAGGTCTGCGTTGGTGTTAGTACTGAGTTTATCAATGAGGTCTGCATAGGTGTTAGTACTAAGTTTATCAATGAGGTCTGCGTTGGTGTTAGTACTGAGTTTACCGATGAGGTCTGCATTGGTGTTAGTACTAAGTTTATCAATGAGGTCTGCGTTGGTGTTAGTACTAAGTTTATCAATGAGGTCTGTGTTGGTGTTAGTACTGAGTTTATCAATGAGGTCTGCGTTGGTGTTAGTACTGAGTTTACCGATGAGGTCTGGGTTGGTGTTAGTACTAAGTTTATCAATGAGGTCTGTCTGATTGTAGTACTTCAAATGAGGTGTTTGTACATAGTGTTCAGGTGTAGTTTGTAACGCTGTGTTACTGGTGTTTGTACAGAGTGTAAAGGTATAGTTAGTAACACTGTGTTACTGGTGTTTGTACAGAGTGTTCAGGTGTAGTTTGTAATGCTGTGTTACAGGTGTTTGTACAAAGTGATAAGGTATAGTTAGTAACACTGTGTTACCTGATAACCTGTAGATACAAGTTCTGTATTTCAGTCCCACACAGCATCCATAACCCTTGCCTCTCTAATCCAGAACCATTTTTAGTAGAGAAAGTTTCATTTGTAACAGTACTTTTCACTCCTTCGTGAAATATTTCAGTACAGTTTGAGGTTTTTATATTTTCACAAGACATTATATATGATCAACCATCATGAAATACTTCAGGTCTGTGTTATAAAGATTATGATATTTGGTGGAGAATGTCATTTAGAAGTTTTCTGTTTGGACAATATCTTACTTTAAATCAGGCCTGTAGATTGAAATCAAAGATTTCTAATACACACAAAAGTTAGCTGTGTCAGTCCAGTAGAACTAAGATAGAATTTTAATGTGTTCAATCAAGTGTATCAGTTATAACTAATGAAATATTGATACTATGTATTTATTGTTACATGAAAAGTAAAATTTCATACTTCATTGAGCACTGATCTTCTACAGTTAGCCCACTCATACAGTCAACAATTTTTATTCCATCTTTGTCAGTCCTCCTCAGAGTTTTTACTATTTTAGTAAGAAAGCTTTCAGAAATACTTGATAGCAGATCACCATGGAGTTAATCCATTAATCCTAACTCGTAATTGTATCACCTTTGTTAATCAAAACACAATTGAATTTCAATTTTAACGTGACTATAGATTTAATTCTGCAATTATTGTATGATTATTTTCTGTGAGGCAGAAACCACATTACCACTGTAATGACAGTGTCATCGATTCTGTTATAACTTTATATAACAGAAGGGTGAGTAGCTGGGGGTACATTAATACTGAGGCCCCTTGTCTGGATACCAAAAAGTGCATGTTTTCAGGGTGGATGATGTATGAGTTTGATAAGTAAGCATTAGTCAGGAAGGACAGAAAGGTCAGGTTCATCAATCTTATATTGTCTAACCCGTGAAAAAGCCAGAGTAGAGCAAAATTGGTAGACAATATAGAATTGATGAACCTCTGAAAAAAGCCAATGTTTGGCAAAATTCATCGACAAAAAAATATTGATGAACCACTGAAAAGGCCTGAGTAGGGTGAAACTGGTTGTCAATATAAAATTGATGAACTGCTGAAGAAACTCATGTAGGGTGAAACTCATTGACAATAAAAAATGGTGAACTGCTGAAGAAACTCATGTAGGGTGAAACTCATCGACAAGAAAAAATGATGAACTGCTGAAGAAACTCATGTAGGGTGAAACTCATTGACAATAAAAAATGATGAACTGCTGAAGAAACTCATGTAGGGTGAAACTCATTGACAATAAAAAATGATGAACTGCTGAAGAAACTCATGTAGGGTGAAACTCATTGACAATAAAAAATGATGAACTGCTGAAGAAACTCATGTAGGGTGAAACTCATTGACAATAAAAAATGATGAACTGCTGAAGAAACTCATGTAGGGTGAAACTCATTGACAATAAAAAAAGTGATGAACCTGGTCTCTTGGCCTTTTGTCATTTACTTCTATTTACTGACTTCATATTTATTAAGACCTGTCCTAATGTTATGCTTTCGATTCACACTGATAATATCTGTTAGCTATATGAGTGGTTTAACACACACAGATAGCTTTTGAAATTACTCTGTGACATGGCCAGTCTTCATCAAACTTGAATGATTTTTCAGCACAGTTGTATTTCTCTATGGACCTTAACCCAGTTAATTAACTGTTACATCTTACTGTAGAGTGATAAAAGTTTAAAATTAACATGAATTCTGCTGTGACTAAATACTCAGTTCATGTGAGCTGTCTGGTATCGTTTATCAATAGAGAAGGCTGTTTCAGATGCACTTTTGTCTGGTAGAATTTTGGCTTTCAGGTACAATATATGGAACCAAAATTCCATCGACGATATGAAGAGAAAAGGGACTATTGAAGTGATTTTACTGTTTAAAGACTGTGGAATCTCTCTACACTTGTGTTTGTCATTTACTATTGGTGTCAATCACAAAACGTTACTTTTTGGTCGGTTTGAAATGACAACACTCGAGAAATTCCACGTATTAGTGGCCATTGTAAATATGTAAGAAGGTGAAGTTGTTGAGAGAAACT